CTAAGTCTGCATCCTCTGATACATTTTACCAGCATCAAACTCGCTGGTAAAGTTTACTGGCAAAGTCAGGTAACATAATCAAGTCTGATTATTGTAAGCAGGACTTGCAACATGATTTAAGTTCCAATTTCAGTTTCCAATTTATTCTCTCATAATTTTCCTGCCTTAGTCAAAATTACACAAAACTCGGTCTCTCTCTTTACATGTAAAAACCAAATGAGACTATCTTACCATATCACTTTAGGTGTGAGGGTAGAGACAGAGTACTTATTATTCCAGAAAGGGAAATGCACTGTATTTGTCATTTTAATCAATGACACCACATATCCCCTTGCCTTCTCTTATCCTTAAGCATAGTAAATAAATGGTTCTTCCCATTAATGCTGATTAGCTGGCCTCATATTGTGAAGTTACAAGCAAAAAAAAGGAATCCCCTACTGCACCCAGTCTCAAGATTGTCCAAGAAAAAATAACAGTCTCTAAGTTAATAATACTATTTTTTATGATTTGGAAGAGAATAATACTTTGCTGCTGAAGGGTAATCCATACATAGGAGCTGACAGCCATTTGAAACACTCTGGTAGAATGAGACCTTATTATAGAACCTATCAATATGAGAACTCCAAGTGACTGAAAAGTACCACTCACCTCTACCTAAATCCAAACAGAATAATAATATAGTACTGATGGGATTCTGTCTCCTATGAAAAGACTTAACAGTTGATACTTAGCCCAAAGTGGTCTCTCATGAATGGACAGGAATGTTGTTCTCGAGCTTAGCGGTCACAGCCTCTGAAATGCCAACATACCCATTATGGAGACATCATATTCTACCAGCAACGTTGCTTCTTGTCCGCACTGTTTAAGAATACTCATGGCTTCAGCGTGCGTGGTTCCAAGAAGACGAATTCCATCCACACTGAGCAACCTGTCACCAGGTTTGATGGTGCCCTCTCTGGAGGGAGAATAAAGGAAGTGCCTTTATTAATTTAGCATGATGGGACTTAGCATTAATAGTCACTTTGCTAAAGTGATTCTTTCATACACATTCTGCCATTGTACCATCCATCCCATTTGCATTTCCTTTTAAGCATCAAGTGTGACAGAGAGTTAAGAGGTAACCCTGAACAGAAAATTGCTCTAATATGAAAATTAGTAATGAGAAAATAACTATGCAGTAGCAAATAACCAAGTTACCCACAGTTAACTCGTAGGGTACAGAAGTAATGAAGGCACATTTTCCCTTTCTCCGGGTTTTGCCTCGATGTCTAAAATGGATTTATTAGAGCCCACATTATAGTATTCACTTTTTTCCCCAAAGCCAGGTGAGCAGAAAAGCCTGCTGATTTCACTCAATTTATTACCAGTGAACCCAAGCGAGACAGGGAGTGTTAGTGAAAAATTTCCCTAGTCTGTAAATTTTCCTACTGATTTATAAGACCATTTGGCAATCATTAAATTGATTCAGTCTTACATTCCCAGGAAGAAGCCAGCAAATGCTATTCCCCCTGCTGTGGTCACAGCCAGCCCAGGCACTGGGAGAAGATGCCTCAGGACATCAGTGAGACAGTCTTGGTACAAGGTAATCTAGGGAGAGCTCCACATCATACCCTCCCTGCACCAAGGAGGGCCACGGAAATAAGAAAACCAAATGGGGGAATTGCACAGTTAGGATTTGGAAAGAAAAAAAAAAACACCCTCTTTTATCTAGATAGCACATTTGACCTAGATAAGTTCATCTACACAATTCTCTAGCATTTTTCATCTAGATATAGCTGGTATGTCATCTAGATGATTCTCTAGGTAGTTTAGCTCTGTATTTTTACCCTAATTTTTTAGATTTCTTTTAGCCCTAAATTAATTTGGTAACAAGTTGCTCAGAAGCAAGTAGCCTGTATCTAATATTTCTGTCAAATCCAACTCTAAATTTTAGTAAGAAATGAAAAAATATTCTTACTTGCTTAGGAGAAGCAAGAAAACAGAAAAAAATGAAATTCCCCAGGAAATTTTGACTTTGTGTTAGCTTTGGTTAGAGCACATAAACACAATGTGACCAGTATCTTCATATTTTCTTACTTTATCTTAAATATCATCTGTTTTTTAAAAAGTGAGGTAACAGTATGGTCCTTGAAGGAAAATATACCTGATTTCCTATCCTAGTTCTTCCGCTTGTAGTTGCTAAGTACCATAGAGTTGGTTCTGATTCATAGTGACCTTGTACAGGGTTTCCGAGGCTGTAAATCTTTACAGTAGCAGAAAGCCTCATATTTCTCCCATGGAACGGCTGATAGTTTCGAACTGCCAACCTTGAGGTTAGCTGTCCAATTCGTAGCCATTATGCTACCACACAGCTCCTTAGTTTGTCTGCTTGTTGTTGTTAGGTGTCATCAACTTGGTACCAACTAATAGTGACCTTATGCACACCAGAACGAAACACTGCCCGATACTGGGCCAACCTTACTATTGTTACCATGTTTGAGCCCATCAATGCTGCCACTTTGCCAACCTATCTTGCTGGGGTCTTCCTCTTTTTCTCTGACCCTCCACCTTACCAAACATGATATCCTTCTCCACCTACTGGTCCCTCCTGACAATATGTCCGAAGTATGAGACACCAAGTTTGGCCATCCTGGCCTCCAAGGTGCACTCTGGCTGCACTTCCAAAACAGATCTGTTGCCCATGGCACTTTCAATATTCTCCTCCAACACCATAACTTAAAAGCATCATTTCTCCTATGGTCTTCCTTATTCACTGCCCAGCTTTCACAAGTATATGAGGTTATTGAAAATACCATAGCTTGGGTCAGGTGCACCTTAGTCCTCAAGCTGACATCTTTGCTCTTCAACACTTTAAAAAGGTCTTGTGCAGCAGATTTGCCTAATGCAATACACTGTTTGATTTCTTGACTGCTGCTTCCGTGAGTGTTGATAGTTGATCCAAAAAGAATGAAGTCCTTGACAAATTCAATCTTTTCTCCGTTAGTAAGAATGGTGTTTATTGGTCCCGTGGTGAATGTGTGGGGGTTCTTCTGCTTAGTAGTTGGCAAATCATTTAACCACACTGGACCTCAGTTTTTTCATTTGTAAATATGGATAAAAGTACCTCATTTAAAGGGTGGCTGTATGGATAAAGTAATGCCTGTTAAGCACTTTGCACAGTTACCAGTATATAGTATGTGCTCAATAAGTACTATTTATTACTATTACTCTATTGTGTTTTGTAAAAACAGAGGGTTTAACACCTATTTCTGGTGTGAACGTGGGCCTGGTGTGGCACTGTAGGGTAAGTACTAGACTGCTAACTACAAGGTCAGTTCAAACCCACCAGCTACTCCTATGCAAGGTTACTATGAGTTGGAACAGATTTGACAACACTTAACAACAACAATCTAGTCTGAATTCTAGTGGATGATTAGTGTATTTTCTTTCTACTTTTCAATTAGACCTGATGTTAGGAGTTGCATTCCAGGCTTTCTACTCCCGTAAGGATTTACACCCTCGGAAACCCTGTACAGGGTCGCTATGGGTCGGCTCTGACTCGAAGGCACTTAACAACAACAACAACAAACAGGGTCAACTTACTGATGACGATCAAAGACCACAGCCTTCGGTGTGGATTGCATCTCAATGTAAAGAAAAAAAAAAATCCTCACCACTGGACCAATGACATATCGTATTAGGCAAATCTGCTGCACAAGACCTTTTTAAAGTGTTGAAGAGCAAAGATCTCAGCTTGAGGACTAAGGTGCGCCTGACCCAAGCCATGGTATTTTCAATAACCTCATATGCATGTGAAAGCTGGATAGTGAATAAGGAAGACCATAGAAGAATTGATGCTTTTGAGTTACGGTGTTGGAGGAGAATACTGAAAGTACCATGGGCTGCCAAAAGAACCAATAGATCTGTGTTGGAAGATGTGAAGCCAGAGTGCTCTTTGGAAGCCAGGATGGCCAAACTTGGTCTCTCATACTTCAGATATATTGTCAGGAGGGACTAGCCGATGGAGAAGGACATCATGTTTGGTAAGGTGGAGGGTCAGAGAAAAAGAAGAAGACCCCCAGTGAGATGGATTGGCCAAGTGGCAGCATCAATGGACTGAAGTGCGGCAACAATTGTGAGGTTAGCCCAGAATTGGGCAGTGTTCCATTCTGTTGTGCATAGGGTCACTGAGTCGGTACTGACTCGATGGCACCTAACAACAAATGGGGTCAACGTTTGCTGTGGAGAATTAGCACAAAGATAAGTACGTCCGGAGGCCCCTAAGATGTGAGTTTACTTGGAACCCAATAAAGTTCATGATGTGGAAGCTGAAGGAGCCGTGCTTTCACATATCCAAATGATAGGCAAGAGAAAGCTCTAGAGAAAGACAAAACTCTTTCCATCTTACTAAAGTCACTTCCTTTCTGAAGTACATAGTCATTATCAAAAGATAAGAATAATAGCAATAATGATAAGGATGTTGGTCACCATTAGAATTAGGCCACCACCACCTGTCTTTGCAAGCTGGGTGACTAGCAATTAGAGATGATGCATTTTAAGTGTATGCTTTGAACAGTTCAGTTGCATTTTATTACGGGATTTCAGTAGGGCAGATACTCTGCAAGGAACCATATGAGGGGCCTTCAAAAAGTACATGAAAAATGGAATTAAAAGATAATGGAATTCTTCCTCCAACTTATTGAAGCTCCCAATATAGCTTTAATCTCTGATAAAACTAAAAAGATCTCCCGTCGACAAAACCCAAATCCAACACAGCCTAGTCAATTCTGACTCAGAGTGAATCTATACTAGATCAGAGTGGATCGCTTTCACAAGGTTTCCAAGCGACTGCCACATGTTTCTCCTGAGGAACGACTGGTGGGTTTGAACCATTAACCTTTCAGTTAGCAGCCTACAGTTTAATCACTGCACTACCAAGGCTCTTAACAAGTCTACAAGGTTGTTGTTGTTAAGTGCCATGCAGTCGGTTCTGACTCACAGCGACCCTGTGTAGGGTTTTGAGATTTTAAATCTTTGTGGGAACAGGAAACCTCATCTTTCTCCTGTGGAGTGGATGGTGGGCTCGAATCACCAACCTTGTGGTTCGCAGTCCAGTGCTGATCCTACAGAGCCACACGTAATAATACCTACCTTGTAGCATGGAAGTGCTATAAGGTATGATTATGTGTAGCTCTGTAGGATCAGCACTAGATGACAAACCACAAGGTAGGCAGTTCAAACCCACCAGTTGCTCCTCAGAAAACCTATATACAGAGTTACTATGAGTCGGAACCAACTTGACGACGACATTTAACAACAACAACAACAACAGTGGAGAAAACTGAGCTCAGAAATGTTGTCATTGCAAATGATAGAGAAGGAAAGTGGGAGAAGCTCCAGTCAAACCTTGGTTTGTTTCTGACTCCTCAGACTAAACACTTCACATTTTAACATATTTACTTCATGTCTATCTTTTACTATCAAACTTTTAGCTCTTCATCTTCTAGACCAAGCTCCCCAGCTTTACTGAATCTACTTAGATAGAGAAACAGAAAGATGAAGTTTACCTGTCAGCAGGCCCTCCAGGACGAACACATGTTATCACAACCGGACGAGATTTATTTCTATCATCATGCGCTCCCCCTAGCAAAGAAAAGAAATAAGGCTTAAAATGTTTTCATTGTTGCCATTAAAAAAAAAGCTTCACTTAGAAAATGCCTGTTGAGGAACTGAAGTACTCTTGCTGATGTATTGAGGAAATCAGGTGAAGTTTTCCTTCTGGAATATAACTTTAAAGGACTTATTCATTTCATAAAGACTATGCTTTTGAAGTCACCATTACTTCACCTCTCAATAAATAAATAACTGTAATCAGGGGTGATATATAAGATATCTGACCACTGATTTGGCAAAGAGCACCAGCTAATTGCAACCAACACTGGACAGGTGAAACAGCCTCCAGCTATAAACAAAGTACAAATGTATCTGCTTGATGATAGTCAATCTGGACTACAATCCATGGAAGCAAAGCTAAAACATAAAGGAAATACACACTAAGGTAAAATTTAAAAACGCAAAGGATTGAAAAAAGAAAAATCCAAGTGGTTGAAGTGGTACCCATACAAATTTTTTTTTTATGGGGGGGAGGGGTGCAATTTGGAAGATTATGTCAAATCAGTTACAATGCTTAGATGGGAATTTAATTTTGCATGGGGAACATTTTGCCACAAAAATGTTCAGAAACATAGAAACTTCCGGATGGAATGTAATTTACTGTAAATTCTGCTTTTAATTCATGACCCTTTAGTACAATTTTCTTTGTCTATGCTTCCCACTCTCTGCTTGAGACTCACTAGTATTGGCTAACTAAATTTGAGGCAATCTATTTCACATTTGGCTATTATGAGTGTTAGGAATTTCTTCCTAATATTCAACTGATATCTAGTCCATTATCCATAGCAGTAAAGCAAAAAGTATGGTCTCTTCCATAAGAAAGTCTTTCCGAAAGTCGAAAAAAGTGAGCATATGCCTCCTAAATCTTGTTTTCTTAAGACTGAACATTTTTAGTTTCCTCTTATATTTTCCATGTGACCCAATTTCCTTGTATATCACCATCCTGGCTCCCATCTGGTGGACTTAGTTTGCCAGTATCTAATCAATAAAAGTACAGAAAAGTAAAGTTTACTTCATAAGGTTTGTCTGGTAGAACAGACTGAATTTCCTAAAGTTGGCAAAGAGGTCAACTTTTCTCTTATCAGAGAAACATATAAAAGACATTCACTTTTCCTGATGAACCAGATGATGCCTTTCCATTCACTTCTATGACAAGGACTGTGTTCAGTAGAGTTAATGGGCAAAAACGTCATTTCTGTGTTTTATTCTTTTGTTTAGTTTGATAACTTTTAAACTCCTCTTTGCCTAAATTTGGAAGTTCACCACTCTTTTCAGACATCTTTTCTTCAATGAATAATACGACAATAACATGGAGCAAATACATACCCATATGGATATATTGTTGTTGCGTGCTGTTGAGTCAGTTCTGACTCAAAGGGACCCTGGATAGAGTTTCCAAGAAGTTGCTCCCTGGATACAGTTTCCAAGAAGTTGCTGGTGAATCTGAATCACCAACGTTTTGGTTAGCAGTTCAGGGATTATCTCACACTGCCACACCAGGACTCTACCATATCGATATGGCTGTTGCTATGTGCCATCAAGTCAGTTCTGACTCACAGTGACCTTATATAGGGATTTTGAGGAGCACCTGGTGAGTTTGAACTGCTGGCCTTGTGGTTCAAACTGATTTTACAGTCCAGAGCATTAATCCACAGTGCCACACCAAGACCCCCCATATCGATATAAATACTATTAATTAGCTTCTCTTTTTCAGGGTGATCACATAAGATTGAGTATACCTTTCCTGGAGGCTGAAGAGAGCAGGAGACCTTTCCATAATCATGATCTGGAGGTTTAAACCATAGGAGATGGTGAGAACCTAAATGTGTGTAGGAAGATTTAGGTGGTTCAGTCCCTGCTGGGGAAGAGTCAGTAAAAAGATACCAAGAGATAAGACTCACTAGGGTATGTGCTGAAAAGAAGCATCCCAAACTCCAAAACTCTACCTAGGGCTGGCACTGCTGCTCAACAGCCAAGCACCTCACCTGTCTAAGTCAGCATTCTAGCATCCTTTGCTTGACAGACAGCCCAACAGGAAGGCATTCCAATAGGAGGATCCCAAAGAGGGTCAACATGCATTATCCTGACCAATCCACAAAGAGGCACTAAGAATCCCTGTCAATGGGAATGTTCAGGAAGCAGAAACACACTGGGCTCTATGGTGACAAAGCAATTAGCTGATGTTCTCTTCCAAGGACCAAGCAGCTGTCTACCAATCTCATCCCGTCTGCCATGCCAGCACACAGCACACAGCACTTTAGTTTGAAGGATTAAAGGTACACACAAATCCTAGGAAGAGAAGATTAGGTCTTAATGAATTTGAAGCTCCAAGAAAAAACGGAGACCAAGCAGAAACCAGAGATATTCTCAGTTCTAGCTGCACATTACCATCATCTGGGAGACTTTCACATTTTATTTTTATTTGTCTTGTCTCTTTGAGGCTTTGACATTATGAAAAAAAATCCCAGAACATTCTATCTTTAAGAATCTCTAGACCGGGCATTGTTTCGTTCTGTTGTACATAGGGTCGCTATGAGTCGGTGCCGACTCGATGGCACCTAACAACAAAACATAGACTTTTCACAAAATTGAGTGGTAAGCTACACAGAACATTGTGAATTACAGAACATAAAGCTAGTGGAAGCTACTGAATGGCACATAAAATTAGAAGTTGATGAGACTTCTTAAGCACCACCAACACAAATAATGGCCCTCAGCACTGTCTTTCTAGCCACCATTTCTTCCTGCACCTTCTCCCTGAGTGTTAGGTCTGTACTCGGTTATTCATCTGTGTACCAACATCTCTGCAAACAGGCATCTCATACTCACCATACTAAAAACTGAAGTTATCATCTTTCCCTGAATTCTCTTCACCAAGCTACCTATTTCCAGTGTCTCCTTGGTTGGTAATCCTTGGGAAGGAGAGAAGCTGCCTGACACTCTCAGCTCACAGCTGAACCTGAGTACCGTCCTGTTGAACATAAACAATGTCCCCGAACACCAACACCAGATAAGGCCATTCTGACTGTGATGGGGCCACACAAAATCAAAACCCCAATGTAAGCGTGTCGGAAAACACAAAACATAAACCTTCCCCAAACCTCTTTACCAATCAGAGTTTCAGCCTCACTTCACTTCTCAAACTTTAGAAGACTCATTACGACAAGCAAAGAATTATCCCAATTTCTTGACAGCACCCAAAGTTGAGCAAAGCCTGCCTCCTTAAACACTTTCCCAAATCACCCAACCAAACGAAGCCTATGTCCTAGAAGTCCTTTCTAACATTTCTTCCTGAGGCTCCCATGGTTTGCTGCAAAGAACAAAACACTTAGCTTATTCAACTGCATGTGTGTTCCTGGTGGTCTTTGGCTGGGGGGCAGTGGCCCCCTAAACCCCTGTCCTAGGTTCCTCCAGGTCCTATGCCTACTACTTTCCTTGGCTGTCTTTGGTCTATGGGTCCTGCCAGTGAGTCCACTGCCCCCTATTGTGCTGCCTGATTGACAGTTCAGAGTTACTGTTTCTTCCCTAAGAGGGGTCTTCTAGTGCTGACATGGTCTCATTCATTTTTTTATCCACCTAGGTGCTTTTAAAATGATCAATGCCAGGGCTACAATGCAGACCAAATCTGAATATCTGGCAACATATGTTAAATGACAAGACTCATTCAAAATTTTGTGGTTAGGATGCTCATTAGAACAAGTTTCTTTGTCCAAAGTAAAAACCAACTTAGTGATGAAGGGATCTTCCTAGTAGTCCAAACGATCTCCCTTAGCTTGGTGGCAAGGAAATTAGCTGAAATTAAATGACCCAAGGTTTAGGCCAGAATACCATTTTTCATTCATGGATCCAAGGTTTCATTGTTTAGAGGCTCAGGGTTTAGAATGTTTGATTTAGAACACTAGAAATATAATTCATTCATTAGCTAAAAGTTTGTTTTAATCCAAAGTCTCATTCTAATGATTGATAAGAAATTTTCAAGTACTAAATAACTATGCTTCTCCTTTTTCCTGATTGTCCTGATATTATCCATCGATTGGAGTTCAGCTCAAATACCCCTTACACCATGAAGTCTTATCAGGCATAATAATGTCTGCCCACAGACTTTCTCATTCTGCAACTTATTTTGTAATTAAAAGGTTCTTAAAGGAGTGTGGTGGCTAGAGGATACACATTAGACTGTAAACCACAAGGTCAGGGGTTCTGCAATGATTGACAACCTAAGAAACCACACACAGGGTCATTATGAGTCGGAACAGACTCAAGAACACTGAACAACAAGAATGGATGTGCGACAGGGTTGCTTCAGACTCATAGTGACCCGGCATACGGTGTCCTCCCACATGGCTGATGGGCTTGAACCACTGATGCTGTGGTTCACAATCCAGTGTTTATCCTTTAAAGCCACAGGGCTGGGAACAAATAATTTCTTTGAGTAAAGAAGACACTCCAGAGGCACCTGAAACTGATCTAAAAATGTAAGTCTTTTATTTTGGTTCTCATTGATAATTATACGAAATCCCACAACCTTTTATTTTTATGTACAACCATTGTACTAAAGTAGTGATTAATGCCTACAAAAAATTCATAAACTAAATTTGATTCACTGTTACTAAGAAGTTTGGTGTTTATACAAGACTAAACAACATTCAATTATATATTAATTTAGCCAGTCATTTATTAACTGCCTAAAAGGTACTAGGCAGTACTTTCGGCTTTTATTACAAAACTACTATGCTGTGTGTGCGTGTATGCACACATACACACATTTGAAATTCCTCCAAATTACAGGAAGGACTTTTGTTAGCATTACATCATCAGTTGTCTTGAAGTGGTTGTGGATTTCAATAGCTCCTATTCTTTTTATTTATGGTGGTGGTGGCTGTGTGCCGTGGAGTCGGTTCCGACTCATAGCGACCCTCTACAGGGTTTCCGAGGCTGTAAATCTTTACGGGAGCAGAAAGCCTCATCTTTCTCCCGTGGAACCGCTGGTAGTTTCGAACTGCTGACCTTGAGATTCGCAGCCTGATTCGTAACCACTACACTACCAAAGCTCCTTTTTATTTACAGTAATCAATTATTGTTTCTTTACTCTCATTGGCAATTGTATTTGGTATTGATTAACCCTACAGCACCTAGTGATGGATGTTTACATCAGCAGCACTTTTATCATTTATTATTTTAATAATTAGGTTTGTGTATATGCAATTCAAATGTCTTTCTTTCATACCTATACTGTGGGGATACCTGCCTGACCTGAAATTATTTATACAATGCTTCTCATTATATTCACCTGGTTCTCTTACACAGAAATTTGGAGATTAGAAAGATAAATGTGATTTGGGGATCTGTTGCTCCACCTAAAATAGGCCAGGGTCAGAAGAAAATGTGTCAACTACAGGATTAAATTACTCAGTGAGTTCCTAGCTCTCTGTTCTTGGCACTACTCACTTGATCAATTTATGTCTTAAATTCACTGAAGTGTAATTTCCTGTAGATAGGAGATTTGTCTTAGACTCCATAGTGCTTTGTCTTAGGCTGACATCTTACCATAGGCTCAATAAATATTGGATTGATTGGTTTGTGAAATGATTGATATCCAAGGGTGCCAAATGCCTATTGTTAATTATTTAAGACAAGTCCACACAAATGAACACATCTCCTTTATATATATATCAACTAAAATGCCTTCTTGTTGTTGTTAAGTGCTGTGGAGTTGCTTCTGGCCCACAGCGACCCTCTGCACAACAGAACAAAATACCACCTGGTCCTGTGCCATCCTCACAATTGCTGCTACGACTGAGCCCATTGCTACTGTCACTCTGCTAATCATCATTAAAATGGCTTGTTGTTTTTAAGTGTTGTGGAGTCGAGTTCTGACCCATAGTGACTCTGTATAGGGTTTCCGAGGAGCAACTGGTGAGCTTGAACCACCTACCTTGAGGTTAAAAGGATTTTGCAATCCAGCACATTAGCCCACAATGCCACACCAGGGCTGTATTAAATGACTTGTTGTTGTTGTTAAGTGTCATCAAGTCGGTTCTAACCCACAGCTACCCTGTATAGGGTTTCCAAGGAGATGATATTAATTTATGGTTTAATAATTTTGATAGAATTTTAACTTTGGTAAAGTCCAAAATGTCATAGGTACAAAAAACAACAACAAAATCAAGAATTGTAAAATCTCTGATGCTTACATAGCTTCTTATTGAACCCCATTGCCATAGTACTAATTACAGGTTGTGGGTTCCTGGTGTGCCATTCCTGATGTCAGATCAATACTGGGGTGCGATCCACACAGTTGGCAGTTCAAACCCACCAGCTGCTCCTCAAAAACACTATACAAGGTAGCTATGAGTCAGAACTGACTCGAAGACATTTAGCAAGAACAACAATATAGGCATAGGAATCCGGATGGTGCTGTAGGACGAGCACTGGATTGCTAACTGAAAAGTCAGCAGTTCCCTTGGAGAAATGTTTTCTGCTCCTATCTGTACAGGGTCACTATGTGTCAAGACCTCCTTGAAAGCATTGAACAATACTCTACACTGAAAACATCATTCTACATTAATAGGTTGAAATGGAAACTAGATCATTTGGACTCCATTTAGATTCCCATTAATTTATTTATTTTAGAGAAAAAGGATGCACATTTTATAAGGTGACTTTACATTGGGATACATTCTACAAGAATAACTGATGGGTGACGCCAGAGATGGAGGCAGAGATGATGACGTGGAGAGATGGAGCGGCTGGGAACTCTGGACTCAGGGAGGGTGAGGGGCTGTGTGCTGACAGCAGGGTGTACACTTTGGTTGTTTGATGATACATGGAGGGGGTTGTAATCATTGCAATGAAGTGAAATACGATAGGATGAATGTAAAGCTAAAGTTCTCCCATGCAAACTATCACATAATTCACAATAAAAACTTAAAAAAAAAAAAAGAACTGATGGTTGATATTTTCTAACAACCACGTACCTCTTATTACAAACCCAAAGGTGTTGCCTTCTTTATGTAATGTGACCTCCACCGTCCGGAAAATGATACCTGATCCTTGTACAGCTGAAGGTAGGAGAGCGAAAAGGTACAGTAAGTATTAAGTTTTAATAATACACATGCATTTTTGATGTAGGCTAAAATATTATTGTTAATAATTCTTGCTTTGAATCATAAAAAAACAATCATATCCAGTTAAAGACAATAAAAAAATAGCTGTAATGACATACAAGTATCAGAACCTAGTCATCTTCATAGCTGAATCACATAGATCCAAGTAAAACCCAAATCATAGCTATTTCCTTTCTTCCTGTGTAGCCAGTTTTTGTGAAAAGGGTAATATTTATATCCTTCAAGCTCTACATAACAAGAAGGATGATCTTATAAGATAAATAGAATTGCTTTTTCTAACCCTCACCCAATTCACAATAAAAAGGTGAAAAAAGAAAAGAACTTTTCTTTTGAAAATGAACAGCATGATTCTTGCAAAAATTACAAACTGATTTATGTATTTGCTTTCATTTTTTAAACTGACACAGGAAAAGCATATTACTACCCAATTGCCATCAATAGATCAAGCTAAGAACCATTTTCCATTGATTTGCTTCTAACTTATGGCAACTCCACGTGTTGTAGAATAGAAATGTACTGCGGAAGGATTTCAAGGTTGTGGACTTCTGGAAGTAGATATCCAGGTCTTTCTTCTGTGGTGCCTCTGGGTGGGTTCAAACTGCCAACCTTTAGGTTAGTAATAGAGCATTTAACTACTGGTGACACTCAGGGAGTCCTATCAATGTGTTGCTATTGTGTGCCATCAAGTCAGTTCTGACTCAGGGCAAGCCTGTATAGGGTTTCCAACTGCTGTAACTCTTTTTTTTTTTTTTTTTTTTAAGGCTTTATTGTGAATCATGTGACAGTTTACATGGGAGAACATTAGCTTTACATTCATCCAATCGCATATAGTTTCTGTGCCATGGTTACAATCCCTCCATGCATCATCAACCAACCAAAGGATATACCCTGCAAGTCTGACCCCCAATCATCAGCACACAGCCCCTCTCCCTCTCTGGGTCTAAAGTTCCCAGCTGCTCCATTTTTCCGCGTCATCGCCTCTACCTCCATCTCTGGCATCACTGCTTCTCTGGGTAGGGTCCCACTGTCCACTGTTTTCCCTTGATGGTCCCAGGGACCTCTGCTCCTAGACTGCAAAGTTAATCA